ATTAGTCTGGAGGGCCCCAGCCTCTGGCTACAGGGCCACCGTGAGAGGAGCTCAACAGTGTGTGTGTGTGTGTGTGTGTGTGTGTGACAGTGCACGCAACTCAGTCAGTGGTAGCCACATGTCCAGTGAGAAGCAGCCCTCCCCAGAGAGGACACCAGCCTCAACCTAGACAGACAACGATGCCCACAGGCGACTGGCTCAGCCTTGACCAGGAAGCCTTCCACGGGTGTGGGCTTCACTGGTCACAAGGTCTTCAGTGCTATTTAAAACCATATGTGCAGGTAACTTAAATAAAATGGATCGGAAGAACAGAAAATGGTGTCTGGACCCAGAAGGGAACAATGTTTCCTCATCGGCAGTGCTTTTTTCTTTTGGGCAGAGCCTAACATGTTGCCCAGGCTGGCCTTGAACTCCTGGGTTACAGTGATCTTCTTTATTCCCCAGCCTTTCCCAGCAGCTGGGACTACAGAGCTAGGCCACCGGACTCGGCAGTGTTTCAACGTATCACAGGAAGAATATATTAACCATTGCATTTTTTTGTTAATAAAAAATTGCTGGGCACAGTGACATATACCTGTAATCCTAGGGACTTGGGAGGCTGAGGCAGGATGAGAGCAAGTCTGAGGTCAGCCTCGCAATTCATAAAATTGACTTGACTCAAAGTAAAAAAATCAAAGAAAAAAGGGCTGGGATGCAGCTCAGTGGTACGGCTCCCCTGGGTTACCACTCAGATTAAATAATCTAAAATAAAGTCTTATCCGTAAAGTACATTATGAAACATGTTTAATAATCAGAGCAATATAACTTTGAAAATTAAGTAGCATCATCACAGAAAAGAAACTGCCAGATGCAGCATGGATCCTGGGTTCTGGGCCCAGCCTCGCTTTGCGACCCCAGGTTGTAGGCTGCAGCCGAACCAGGGGGAGGGACCCCAGAGGGCAAGGGGGGGAAGCCCCCTCCCATTGGCTTACAGGGCAGGCCCCGCCCTGAGGCCCCGCCCAGCAGCGGATGGAGGGGCGTCGCCCAGGCCTCAGGCGTTCTGTGGGGCGCAGACAAAGAGGACTCCGGGCTGGGTCCAGCGCTGCCCGGCCCTAGAGGGGAGGAGAGTGGGGTTGGGGCCTGGACCCAGCCTAGGGAAGCAGGGGGAGCCCTGTCTGCAGGTGGTTGCGGGGTGGGGGGCGGGGGTAGGTGAGTCCCCGCCCACGATGCATGACCACGCCACTTCTGCAAGACCTGGATTTAAAATCCCTGCCCGGAAAGTGACTCGGCTTCCCGGAGCTGCGCTGTTCTCGTCCTGGGGGCGGGTGATGCCCATCTCGCCACAGCCTTCAAGATGACAGAAACAAAGCCACCACGACGGTGCTGATTCCCACAAATTACTAAGGCTCCGCTGCAGCCACTGACCCTATCCCTCCTCCGCCCGCCCACCCCAGCCAGGCACCTCCTGGAGTCCGAGGCCCTTTGTGTTGAGCCTGGCCCACCCGGGACCCGGGAGGAGGAAAGCAGCCCCTGGCCCACCTGCAGCTAGTGGGCAAAGCTCCTGATCCCCACCGAGGCCATGCGGGGAGCTGTCTCCCGCTGTACCAGGGGCCAGCAACAAGAGCCAAGAAATTTCCTGTGGTCTGGGGTAGATGCTGAGCAGATGAATCCTTCACACAGGGCCCTGCCCAGGGACCTCCAGCTTAGGACTCCTGAGAGCAAGGTTGGGGGGCTGCAGAAGAGAAGTGCTAAGTTGCTTCACACTGATCACTGATCACCACAAAGGGGAGAAGGGAAAAACAAAGTATCCCCCCTCCTCCGAAAATTTGCCTCTGTTTGCTTCCCCCCTACACTACTGAGGATTGAACCCAGGGCCTTCCATACACCAGGCAAGTGCTCTACCTCTGACCTACATTCCCAGCCCTTTTTATTTTATTGAGACAGAGTCTCACTAAATTGCTCATCCTTCTGCCTCAACTGGGAATTATGGAATAGTTGGGGTTAGAGGCTGCACTACCACACCCAGCCAGAAATATTTTTTTTTCATTGTTTTTGTTTTGGTACCAGGGATTGAACCCAGGGGCGCTTAATCACTGAGCCACAACCCCAGCTCTTTTTAAATTTTTTAAATTCTGAGACAGGATCTTGCTAAATTGCTTAGGACCTCACTAAATTGCTGAGGCTGGCTTTGAACTTGTGATCCTCCTGCCTCAGTCTTCTCAGCTGCTGCTGGGATCACAGGAATGCACCACCACGCCCAGCAGGGGAAATTGTTTTTAGACAAACATAAATTAGTAAAAACAACTCAAAAGGAATAAAAATAGGAAGCAAACCTAATATTCCATAGTCCAGTGTCCGAAGACACTGTCCAGCACTCTGTAGGCTGCATAAGGAAGTGGGTGTAGACTTGACTGTTAGAGCTTTTGTCTAATGTGTGCCTGTGGAATAGACGTGCTGGGCCAGGCCTAGCAATAGCAGCAGGGTCACCAGGCAGGCCTCAGGGTGCCATCCTCTCCACCCAGCACTGACCTCTGACCCTCCCAGGAGCAGATGTTCAGAGCAGGCCTGGTCCCCGTGACCACAGTAAGGAGTGTTCAGCTCCTCCCATCAAGTCAGGGCAGCTGTCACGGACTGCCCCAGGAGTCCTGATTAGATCTGAGAACCCTAGCCCTCAAGCCTCCCCTCCCCCAGTATCCCTCCTAGAGGGACACAGATGTCTCTTCTGGTGATTAGAGGATCTCCCTGTACTGCCCCACCCCCTTCAGAGGCATCTCCACCCTAGAGCCAAACTTGCAATTTACATGTCAGCCACGTGGCTGCCCCAGCCCATGGTAATTAGCTTTTTGTTCCTGCCTGGTTACCATGGCAACAGCCTCCAGGGGAAGTTCTGGTTGGACCCCTTCCCCTCCAGGAACTATCTCCCCCAAGCCCCTCTTGGGAACTAGCTCCACAGCAACCTTGAGCTGGGTCCCTGGCTTCGGTCCTGACAAAGCCACCTCCCTCCACACTGTTGTTCTAAGGGTAGACCCTTCCACCCACCCAGCCCAAGCCCCAGCTCTGCAAGGGACAGAGCTAAGGGGTCAGCCAGCTGCCTTCCACCTGCTGTGTGACCTTGGGCAGGGGACAGCCTTCCAGGACTTGGGGACAGGAACGGCTATCTCACAGGCCGGGTGGGGATGAGGACACCTGAAGTTCCCTGCAGAGGCACACACCAAACCTTTCCTTGCCTCAGCCTTAACATCTGTGAGGTGAACTCACAAGGAGAAATGCAGAGGGAGGCTGCAGCCCCCGCACCTGCGGCTACCCTTTGTTCCAGTGTCCAAGCTACAGGAGTAGACCCTGGGTGGGCGCGGTCCAGGGAGGTATCACGCCTTTGTCCAGAAAGAGCAGGGTTGAGGGAAGAGTCCAGTTCTGGACCAAGGTCACCCTAGTCCAGGCCCAATTCCTCCAACAAAGGAATAGGGTGGGGCTAGGAAGCTAGGTTTTCAGAACAGGGTTGGGGACAGGAGGGCGGCTCTGTCCCTTGGAGGACATCCCGTTCTTTCAGTGGAGGTTTGGGCAGAGGGAATCGTCATAGCTTTGGGGGAGAGCCCCACCCAAAACTGCTCACCCTATCCATCTCACTCAAGGCTAAGGTGCGGCCCCAAAGAGGGCCACGCCCAGACAGTCCCCCCAGCAGGCCTGCTGAGGCCGCGCGGGGGAGGGAGAAGGTGTGGATGGAGCTGAGGTTTAGCAGCTGACGTGGGCTGCCCGCCAACAGGCCGAGGTCACCTGGGCAGGGGCAGAAGAAAGGCGCGGGTGGGAATCACAGGGCAAGGATTTCGACGCCCCTGCCGCCCGGCGGGGTACCGCGCTCATCCCTTTGTCCCGGGCTGGGAGCGGCGCGAGGTGCAGCCCGCGGTGCACCACGCCTCGCTCCCCGGGGCCGCCGCGCGGTGGAGGTCCCCGGGATGAGCGCCGGGATGCAGGGCGGGCGGGGGCGGACGCGTGGCCTCACCTTGGCCCCGATCTGGTTGCCGCACTGGCCGGCCTGGATATGCACGATCTCCCTCATGCTGGCTGCGTCTGGCGGGCGGCGGCGAGCGCAAGCGGACAGTCGGGCGGGCTGCAGAGGGTCGGCGGCCCCCGCCACCAGCTCTTATAGCGCGGGCCCCGCCCCCGCCGGCCTGACATCAGCGGGCGCGGCCAATCCCAGGGCGCCGCCGCAGAATGCGGCACCGGCTCTGCAGCATCAGCACCGCACATCCCGGCTCCGCCCGCGCAATGCGGCGCCTACTCCCGCCGCCGGGACTAGGCCGGGCCCGGCACCTCCGAAAGGAGGGGCTGGCTCCCAGAGGGTCCGGTTGTGCGAGTGGGGACTCCAGGGAGGACAATAGAGCTGCCCTGGGCCCTTGGACATCCCTCCCCAGGCAGCCGCCCTGATGGGTTCCACCACTGCTGCAGCCCCACCCTGAGGCTTTGTGAGTAGGGTCTTTCTTCTCATCCGCTTAGGAACAAACCCCCATCTTCCTGGATCCCTATCTTGTGGCAGACAAGGTATTCTGGTCTCTGCCAGGTTCGTAGGGGTGGGCGAGGCAGGAACCCACTAAGCAGGCCACCTGCAAGAAAGCGAGCTTCAGACAGGACCCAGAAACATCCGAGTTAGGAGACTATGGGAACAGAAGGGCGGCAGGTTCTGTATGCAACTCAAGAGTCCCTGACCTGGCAATGGAAGGTGCCACCCGCCCTCCCTCCCCGAGGGCTGCCATGAGGAGGCATTGCACTCCTGGGCATTCCCAGCGCCTGGCAGGCAGCCCTTGCTCCATGAATATCTGCCTCAGGAATCGTCCTAAAGGTACATAAGCCAGGCACTGGATCTACCAGGGCAAAAGACAGAGGACAGCAGTTTCTGACTCATTCCCTGATGTCACCTGTATCCTTGAACTCTTGGTATAAGTGAGGGTAAGGAGGGGACCTGGAGCCATCTGGAACCACCTACTTATGGAGACTGTCAGGAGAGGAAGGAGAGGATGGATCTGCCATGCATCATTCTATTCATACATACTGCATTGGTTTAATATTCATCTAGGGTTAGATATTCCAATGACACCTTATAATGAGGTCCTCATGGAATTCTGATGACAGAAATCCCTTAAGAAGGGTCTCAGGCAGCACCACAGTGTGTAGACCCTCAAGCATCATTCACTTCAAAGCCAGCAGCTGAGAACAAGCTGCAGGCGCCTGTGCCCTCTATTCTGTGCAGGAGTGCTGTGTGTTGTAGTTGCGTCTCTCTCCTCTCTCTCGGGAGAAGCTCCCTGGTTTGGCAAGCATAGAAATGGGTCTTTTGTTCTCAAGAGATGCCCCTCCCCCACAGTTTGTCCGTGATGTGGCTTTCCGTGGTTGGTTTCCAGCTGTCCCCATTCAAGGAGTCCTGGGTGAGTATTTGGCTGTGCCTCCTGGTCTGTGCAAGGGAAGAAGCTTGGAACCATCCATAGGCCTGGACTCCCTCTCTGCCAGGATGGCATCAGACCAAGCCAGCTCCCCCTCTGTCCCCAGAGGGCTCTGGTGCTAGGCTGAAGGCTGACTCACTGTTCTGTCTCCCAGCAGAGACTGGCCTTGCCGGGAACCAGTAGTCTGGGCTGTAGCTGACAGCAAGGTGGGGGCTGCTTACTAGACCTGTCTGGGAGAAGGTAACAGGACATAATAGCTCCCACCAAGCTTACCCCAGGGAGGAGGTCTGCTGATGTCCAGTGTCTGTGCAGGAAAATTAGGTGGGCTTAGTGAGAAGCCCAGGTTGCTTCAGAAGAGGGGCACAGGGGTCCACAACTCTCTAAAACCAAGCTGTATAGTTAACCCCAAGATGCCCACTGCCCTGGACTCGGTTTTGGACATCCTGAGTCCCCAGACAACCTCACCCCATTCTCAGAGGCCTTGTCTAAAAATTTCCCCAGGCTGGCAGAGCACTGACCCAGCTCCCAGGGGGACAGTGACTAGCAGAGAACAGACTCCAATCCCTGTTCCACCCCAGGCCACAGGCCCCTCTGGGCATCTCATAGTAGATGAGGATGGTCCCATTCACTGTGTGCCATAGCTGTGGGGTTGCAGGGATGAAGCCAGGAAAGGGGCATGCTCTGGCTGGGGTCAAGCGTCTGCACCTCAGGGGCTGGGACTGGGTGGTGCTGCTTCTGCCAGTGTAGAATTGGGCCAGAGGCATTCTGGGCAGTATGAGTCTTGTCACCATGGAGGTGACTGGGGGAAGGGGCTGCTGAACATGTGTCCTTGGCTCTGTATTGCAGTTTGTAGCCACAGAGAGACAGATGGCCAAGAAGGAGCTGAAGCCTGAAGTCAATACACTCTTCCCATTAACACTGGAGGCCTCTGGAACTGTGGTCTCCTCCCCTGGGTAGACAGTCATGATTTCTGGGATTCGTTTCTCCCCATCATAACTACTGTCCCTGCCTTCCCTCCACCCAGATTTCAAACAGCTTCTGGAAGAATTCAGGAGATGGTGGTGAGGCTGCACCTGGGCACAGCATTATTACCAATTGTTTCCTGGCCCTGCACTCCCAGGCACTGGCCACTGATTCAGACAGGCAGCCTCTCCTACAGCCAGAGCGTGCCTTTGCTGGATCCCCATGCCTTGGGTGAGTGTGGTGCTGGATTCCCAACTCTCAGGTTTCCACTGAGCCTGCAAACTTGAATGGATGCTCAGCCCCACTCTGGTGGACACCCCTGTGCAATAGGCCCATTCTGCAAATCCAGTGCCCTAGCTCACTTCTGAAAGCAGCCTGCCGCACAGCTGTGGCTGGATCTTTCTGGTCACAAAGTCCTTTCTCCTGAGGCTCTGAACAGGAGCAGGGTCCCTTTTCCATGGCTCCTATTGATCTTCGTGTCCCAGCTGCTGAGGGCACAAGCCCCAAGAGCTGGCAGTAAAAACCAAGTGATGGTGGGCATGGCCTAGTCACAGGCAGAAGCAGAACTCCCTAGGACAGAGAATGTCTCTTTAGGATCCTAGGATCTGCCCCTGCTGCCCAGTAACCAAGCCCCTCCCCTCCCCAACTTCCTCTATTTCCCACAACTTCTTTTGAGGGTTGGTTTCTGGAGGTCACACTTACCCCTCTCCCTGTCCCCAGTCTGTGCTTCCACACCTTTAGAGATCATCTAGTCTGTCCTTTGGCAAATGGGACCAAGAAGGGAAGGGCCTATCCAAGGCCACACAGGACTCGGGCCACTGGATACCTTTGTCTTACTCTGCCCAGCATCCCGGCCTTGATTCCAGCAGCCACCCTCCCTGCTCACCAGGAGCACAGCAGCACCTCCTTGAGTGTCAGGCGGAGCTCCCGGCTGCGGAAGGCATAGATGAGAGGGTCCACAATGGAGTTGCATATAATGAGGGCCAGGAACAGGTTGAAGTTCTTGAAGACACAGCTGCAGGCAGGGTGCTGGGGGCAGAGAACGATGAGGGTGAGGTGCAGGAAAAAGGGGCCCCAGCACAGGAAGAAAACACCCAGGAGGGTAGTGAGGGTCACAGCGCCCTTCAGGCGGAAGCCCTGGTGCACTGGTCGCTGCATCTTGTGGAGCTGGGCGATGCCCTGGGCATGCTGGCATGCCCGGGCAAGCATGTGGATGTAGAGAGCTGCCATGAGTGCCAGCATGGCCAGAAAGAAGGTGACGAGACAAAGCAGGACAGCTGCGTGGTTGTAGTAGGTGATGAAGAGGATGCTGGAGAGGATGCTGGCCGCCCAGATTGCCACAATGGCCCCCCGTGCGCGGGGCAGCGTCACAATGCTGTGATAGCGTAGTGCGTAGAAGATGGAGATGTAGCGGTCCACAGCAATGGCACCCAGAAAGCAGAGGCTGGACACCATGGAGCCACAGGTGAGCACGTCCATGACATTGTCCAGCTGCTGCACCACAGCGGCTGGCGTTGCCAGGGCGCCCACCTCCAGCAGCAGGAAGATGGCAGTCTCCAGCACATTGCTGGTGCTCACCAGCAGGTCAGACAGGGCCAGGCAGCAGATGAAGCAGTACATGGGAGAGTGCAGGTTGCGGTTCTTGGCGATGGCCACCACCACCAGCATGTTCTCCACCAAGCTCACCAGCCCCAGGCCAAGGAAGAGCCCGTCAGGAATGGACACCAGCAGGCACTGGGGGCCCGTCTGGTTGGTGGCCAGCCGGAGCTGAGGGGTGGCCGTAGGGGTGGAGTTGAGAGAGCCCAGGAGCCTCCTCTGTACAGGCATAGTCCTGTCCTCAGAGCAGGAGGGGTGGATGGAGGGTCCCAAACTCCAGCTGTGTCAGGCTCCAGGCACCAGCTCAGCTCATGGTGCGTTGGGTGTCACTCACACCTGTCCTGTTCCATCCCGCTCTCACCCTCGCACTCACCCTCTCCCTGGCTGGACAAAGGTTGGCCTCGGCATGGCCCCAGTAGAGTCCAGAGACTTCCTGGCTGGAACCCTGAGTTCTGCGGTGTAGACCTTCTGCTCAGGGAATCGGAATCTCAGTCCACAGTGCCAATGAAGCTGGTCATCCACTGCACTGCCAACCTCTTCTCTGGAGGCTGCTCTGGTGGGGACCTCATCTGCTCCGGGAGCCTCTAGGTCACCTACCTCTGATAACTCTGCCTGGCCTCCTGCCTCCCTGGGCCAGGGGTAGGCTGAGGTCCCAGGAAGAATGGAGCCTTTCTTTAAAGTTGTCCGCGGAGCCCCTCCTCCAGAGGGTGGCACATGATGGGCGTGCGACTGAGCTGCGTGAGCACCCCGGGACCGGCCGCCAGGGGTGTGAGCGGCACCCAGCAGGCGCCAGAGCCCAAGGACCCCTGGGCACAGCGAGGGGTCAAAGCCATGCTGACCTTCCCCGTGCTCCTGGCCCTGCGTCATCAGTCCTGCCTCTGAGGACCTGCCCCTGTGCCCCCTTCTGAGAAACTTCTGATTCTCCTGCAGCCTCATCGCGGCTTCCCTGCGTTCCCCGGTGCTACTGGGCTCTGCTTCATGGTGGGAGCAGCTGCCAGCCCACCCTGCCAGGCAGGAGGCACATTACCTCTGGGGCATTTTAAAATTTTTTATACTTTCATTTTATGTATTTATTTTTATGTGGTGCTGAGGGTGGAACCCAGGGTCTCACACATGCTATGCAGCCACTCTACCACAGAGCCACCACCCCAGCCCCATCTTTCTTTCTTTTTTGAATTTTTGCTGAGAGTGGAGCCCAAGGCTAGTGCTCTACCAGAGCCACACCTGCCATCCTGAGAATTTGTAAAATGATTAAAATCTCAAGAAACAGTTGGCAAGGCAGGAGCCACAGCCTCAGCAGAGGCTCAGCGCTAGACATACCCCACAGGAGCACCTTGCCATGCCAGAGCGGCCACAGCCCCCAACTGTAGCACTGCTGGGGCTGTGGGGGGCCGTTTTCCTGGCGGCTGGCCAGATGCATCCTGCTGAGGTCTACCAGCAGCCTGTCACCATGCAGACTTGCTCACTCACTGGGGCACCAGCTGCAGCTGCCTACCCCTCCCTGGTGGCACCCCCATTTCTGCTGTGGGCATACAGGACCTGGAGCTGGGGACCACATCAGGGCACTCTTGTCTCTGGCCTCAGTGGGCCACAGCCAGGGATGGCACCTTGACAACCATTTACAGCCCTTGCCCGGGTGGGGAAGGCAGTCCTGCTCCCATTTGGGTATCTGCTAGGCTCTCTCCAGAGTGATGTGTTTGTGTCTTGCATTACTGGAGACTGTACCCAGGGTCTCGCACAGGCTAGGTAAGCCCTCTACCAATAAGCCATATCCCCAGCCCATTTAAAAAAAAAATTATTTAGACTCTATTTTGTGGTACTAGGGATTGAATCCAGGAGTGCTCTGACACTGAACTATATCCCTAACCTTTTTTAAAAAAATTTTATTGTGTGTTTACTTATTGGCAGTACTAGGAAACGAACCCAGAGGCCCTCTACCACTGGACCATACCCCCAGCCCTTTTAATTTTATTTTGAAGCAGGGTCTTGGCTGGCCTTGAAGCTGTGATCCTCCTGCCTGGGCCTCAGCCTCATGGCCTCACTGAGATGGTGGGTGTGACCACTGCACCTAGCAACCCTGAGGTGTTTTGAAAGCATTTGTTTCTGCAGTACGTGTGAGAATCCATTCTCTCCCTCCTTCATCTTTCCCACTGCCAGATACCTCGGGCCACACCGTGCCCGCACACCGGTGTGTGAAAGCAGAGGATAGCGCCCACTAACACTGGTTGGACACTCCTTACATCCCCACCCTGCAACTCACCAACTCCTCGTGTTCACTGTGGAGCACTAAGTACAACACAGATGGAACCCACAGATGACAATGAGAATGACGGCTTCCCCAGCCTGAGGACAGCCAGGAAGCAGCACCCAGACCCACAGATTGAAGAGTGGCCCGCGCCAGAGCAGCCTCAGGTCCCTTCCTGCCTGCTCTTGCAAGCCACTGTCCTGACCTCAACACCACAGGTGAGTTTTGCCTTTCTTGGAACCTTCTGGTTGGTATTTTGAATCACACTGAGATTCATTCTTTTTAATGCAGGTAATTAAAATCCTCCCACTTAGACCGTGTGGTGTCCATTATGTGAGCAGATCATGCTTGGCATTTGGGCAGCTTCCAGCTACTCGGGACAGACCAAGGTGGCGTTGGAGGCTTGGCGCACATCCCCTGGGGAACAAGGGGCAATGTTGGTGCCACAAAGTGTCCATCCTTAGTGGATCTGGCCATTTTCCATGTTGGTGAACTGCTTCTTTCTGGCAGCTCACCAGTCCCACAAGCCTTCACGGAGAGCCCGCATGGAGGACGGGGCCCACATACTGCCACACCCTGAGCTCAGCTCTTTGCCTCCATGACCTCTGCCCCTCTTGGAGAATGGCCGAGAGCCACATGCAGCCCAGGCAGCAGCAGCTGCAGACCACTGTGCACCTCAGGGCAGTGGCAGGCAGCCCGCCCCACCCCCTGCTTCAGGGCCCCTTAACAGGGATGTGGATTTCCACTTCCATGAACAAGGCCTTTGAGAGGGATGTTTCTCCCCATCCCTCCTCTGTCAAGCCTGAGACTTCAAAGGCATGAGACTGGGGTAGCCTTTGGAAGAGGTGACCACATCCTTCCTCTCACGAGACCCAGCTGGCGGGCTTAAGAAACCAGACAACCCTGCCTCAGGACTCCCTGTCTTGGACCTCACTGGACACTCCTGCTGCAGGCTTCGTGGGAAGGAGCCCAGTACAGCTGCGCTGGAGACAGTCACCTTTTGGCTTGTGACAGCAGGGAAAGTGGAGAGAGTGGCCTCAGGCTGTCTGTGCCCAGACGAGGCCAGATGGCGCTAAGGCTGAGTGTACCCTGACCTGGATGTCCTGGCACCCAGTGCAGCTCCCAGTCTTGCCCCAGATGGGACATACTTGGCCCTCACGGAGTATCCTGGTGCCCACAGGAGGGCAGTGCACAGCAGGCCTGCCCCCCACGGGGAGAGTGGGGCCACTACCTGACCCTCATGCCCAAGCACAGCTTCTCAGGAAGGGCGTTGGCCACATCTTGGCAATGTCAGCCTCCTCTGAAGCCCCTGTCTGGAAGGTGACAGGGAGGTTTGCTCCTGGGTGCCCACCTTGTCTAGCTCAGTGAGAAAGGCCACAGCTGGTCAGCCACCCTGCCCATCACACAGGTCCTCCTGCTGAGGCCAAGTGGTCCAAAGAGGAGCCAGGCCTGCTTGGCAGCTAGGCCTTCGTGGCGGTTCAGAGGTGTGAGCAACTCTAGGAGCGTGCTCAGCTGTAGCACTACTCAAGCCCAAGTGCACCATGAGGAGCTGTGGGCTCAGGGCCTCAGGAAGCAGGCCTGCAGCTGAGCCGGTCCCTCGAGCCCAGGGCCCTTCTCTCTGCTCGAATGCTAGAGTGCTGGCCGTCCACTTCAGAGGTCCCTGGCTCCTGGATGCAGGATCCCGTTTCCTGACCCTTCCAGAACTCGGCAGGATATTCCTCTGTTGGTTACTAGGGACTGAAAAGCATGCTATCCCTGCGCTACACCCCTAGCCCTGGCCTCAGCCTCCCGAGTTGCTGGGATTACAGGTGTGGCCAACACGCCTGGCTTGGGTCACATGATCTGTCCCTCCAGCGGTTAGGCACAATGGCGCTGAGGCTCTGGTGTGCCCTGGCTGTGTGGCCAGCTGCGAGCCAACCCGGGGGTCTTATTGGAGCTCCTAGTTATCCCCAGAACAAATGTCCATTAACCTGTCCTATACCCCCCAATCTGCCCTCAACAACTTTCTTCCTAAACTTGCTTTTTGGGCTTCTCCTTCACCTCCGGACACTGCCCCTGAAGCTTCACAGCTTCCTTCCTTCTCTCCCTGTCTCCTCCCCTCCCTCCTGCCTTCCTTCCCTCCTGTACTGGGGATGGGGTCCGGAGCCTTGTACATGCCAGCCCAGTGCTCTACCCCTCAGCTGCGTCTTGGCCCTCCAGTTTCCTAATACAGTACCGGGCTGGGGCTGTAGCTCCAAGGTAGAATGTGTGCTCGGAAAGTTCAAAACTCGCAAGTTTGGAGAGGCTGCAGTGTCCCGCTGAGGGACCCCCCCCACATTATCCCCAACTGCTCGAAAAGAACTGGGCTGTGGCCTGAAGGCCAGCCACGTAGACATCTCTTCTCAATACAAGCCTGGAGATCCCACACCACCAGGAATCCCCCTGGAGCCCTGTGTTCCAGATTCCGGTGTGGGCCGCACGTGGGCCAGGGCTGGCTCTGGACTCCTGAATGCTGAGGTGGAGTTGAGTGTTGGAGGAGGAGCCCCCGCAGCAGGGAAGGAACCCATCCATGTTTGCAGGGAACAGAAGACACGGCGGCCGATACATTCAGCACTTCTACTTCAGGGGACTGGTCAATCCAGACCAGAATAGAATCAGGAACATAATTGCACAGCGCTGGGCGCATCAGCCTAAGTGGCTCAGTCCCAGTCCCCCTCCCCCTCGGGGTTGTCCTCCCGCGGCGCCTCCAGGTCATTGAAGTGGAAGTTGGCCATCATGTCTCGCACGGCCAGCATCAACCGGTTCAAGCCTTGGTTGTGGTTCAGACCCCCAGGCACTCCTTCCTCTGGCCTCTCCCCCTGCAGCAGCGAGACATGTCTGAGCAGGGCCTCTCTGTGCTGGGACTGGGGACCTGGGGCCCAAGCAGGGAGTTGCGTCATCAAGCCCGGGGCGGCCTGCACCCCAGCACGGGGCCTGGACCCTCCTCAGGTCCCTGTCGAGGACATGAAGCTCTGAAAAACCAAAGGCACATGTCTACCCAGGCCAGTGCGAGGCAGGGGGCCGAGCAGCCCTGCGGCTCCCAGGAGCTGTCGGCCCCGCTCCTGCACTGCCCAGCATGGTGCTGACGCTGGACATCTGCATGCAGACGACTGGCTTGAACCACTCAGCACAGAAGCTGAGACGTGCCCAACCTACCTCCACAGTGTAATTTGGCAACAGTGACCGGAAGAAGAGGGCAACCATGTTTCCATGGCTGACAGGACTTAACCTGAAACAGGAAGTCAAGAGAAGTCATAAAACAAAGCTAGACTCCCCTTGACTCCTCCCAACGCAGGTCAGGGTCCGGCTTGGGGTGGGGCCATGGACACCCAAGGACAACTGGGAAGGAAAGGAAGGGGCCCGGGGGTGGCTTCAAGGAGCCTAGTCTGTGAAATGACCACAGCCAGGCTGTCCTCTGCCATGGCACAGGCCTTGTTTCCAAGAAGAAGTGCAGTCTCACTGGGCGTGCTGGCCGTGCCTGTGCCAGCGACTTGGGAAGCTGAGGTAGGCGGATCATGAGTTCAAAGCCAACCTGGGCAAATCAGCAAGATGGCCCCAACATTTAAAAAAGTGCTGGGGCTGCAGCTCAGGGGTAGAGCACCCAGGTTCAATCTCCAGCACCACAAAACAGAAAAGGGCCGCAGGTGCACACCTCCTTCAGCACCAGGCCAGCAGAGAACAGAGCCACGGCCACACCCATGCTCTGAGGAGGAGAAAGCCCATGTGGGCAGAGAGCAGAGCAAGGTGCCTCTGTACCGCTGACCCACGACCTCCTCCTGAGCTACTGGGGAGCTTGACACAATGGGCTTCACTGTGAACCCACAGTCCCATTATAACTTCTACAAAGTTGGTGGGGAAAGGTGGGGCTGGAAGGCAGCCTGCCTTAAAAGGGAGGGCCGCCAGCAGCTCTGGGGCTCACCCCAGACAAGCAGCTCCTCAGCACATTTCCCTGCCAGGATGGAACCCAGGTCACACATACTAGGCAAGTGCTCTGCCACTGAGCTAAACCCTGGCCCTTTAGATTTTGAGAAAGGGTCTTGCTAAGCCGTTGGCCTTGAACTTGTGATCCTCCTGGCCTCAGCCCTGAGTAGCTGAGATTATAGGTGTGGCCCTAACACCAGAAGTAAAGGTGAAAGGGCTCTAGTTGGCTCTGAAAGCTGCCCACACTCCGGGGGCAGCCTGGAGTCGGCTCTGATGTGTTTCTTTGTCACTTTCTGTCCCACCAACCTACTCTCCTTGCCCAGCCTCACGGGCCTTCTTGCTGCCTTCCTGCTGCTCTGGTATCTCTCGGTGCACTTCAGACCTTACCCGTATCTCTAGGTTCTACAATTCTCATCTGTTCCTACCATGGCAGCTGACCACAGGCAGAGTGGCTTCTTATTCTGCTTCCCACTGCGTTTCTAGCACCTGCTACAAAATCTGGAAAGAAACGCTCAGAGTTGGGTGGACATGTGCAAAGGCAGCTGTGTCCTGAGTGTCACTGCTGCTCCCTCTTCCCTGTGCCTGACCGCTGGCCTTCTGGGCTGCCTTTGGTGGGCATTGAGCCCCGGGGAGCCCCGAGGCACTGACCTGGGTCTGCACAAGCACAGTGGGGGTGAGGGCATTACCTCTCTGGTCTGACGTAGGAGTAGATGGTGTCCAGGGGAGGCAGAGGGTCAAACCCCATCACAGACTGTGTGGTCACATCCTTTAGAAAGGGCAGAAACAGTGATGCTAGAGCCTTCTGGGGCAGGTCACTCAACAGAGAAGGGGAATGGGCTTGGCTTTCTGCCCCTGGGCAGGGGCATGGTGGGAAAGGTCAGGCACACAGGAAGTGCCCACGCATGCCATGATCAAACTCACTGTGGTGCCCAAGCCACACAGCACGGGCTGAACCACGAGACACAAAGCCGGCACAGCCCTGTCCGGCCTCTCTACCCTCTCCCGCCAGCACCATGCTGTCACTACTCATCAGAACAAGCCTTCCTGGCCAGAAGAGGTTGGCAGTGCTGTCCTGAGGATCAGCAGAGCAGCTTAGGTAAATTGGTGGTGTCGAGGGCCCCAAGGGACCCCCTGTCCTGGCCGCCCTGACCTGCCTCTTCCTACACACCTGTGGTGCCCTTGAGGTTTCCCCACAGCAGCAGCCTGCTCTCAGCAGTGTTGCATGCAGGCCTGGCCACCAGCAAGGCACGTGGGGCCAAGACCATGGGTGCAGCTGCTCCTGGATTGACCAGCACCCCAGGAGGCCGAGGGAAGGTACTCATGCCCCCTTTGGCCTCACCCACCGTCCTGCCTGTGGGCTGCCAGGAGCAGGAGGGGAACGGTCACACAGCCCACCATCAGGCCCTCCTCCTTACCGGGGGAAGCGCAGCAACAGCCTCCCTGATCTCCGAGAGGATCACATGGCGATGGATGTTTCTGGGTGCACGCTGGTAGAGCATCTTCCGCCTGAGGCCAGGGCAAACAGCAGCAGATTAACCAGTGCCTACCCTGCAAACTGCCAAGCCCTTCCTCCCTGGCAGGTCTCCATCTCCCAAGGATCTCCAGCTTCACCCCTGGACGGCCAGGCAGTCAGTCCATGGTGTGCTGAGTGAGTCTCTGAAGGACCCGAGTGTCACTACAGCTGCGGCACGGGGCCTGCCCCTGCTGGACACGGTGGGGTGGAGAAGCTGCACAGGGAGCAGAAGGTGCTCCTGCCCATTGAAACATCCCCTCTAGTGTGGAGAACAGACAAGTGCACAGTGAATACTGGCTGTGAGGGCCAGGGTGCCAGGGCCCCCACTCTCCCATCATTTCTTCAATTTTACTTCCACAGCAGAGGGCTTCCTCTGGGTAGCTAGGGGAGACTCCTGGCCAGCACAGACCACAGAGTCCTCACTGTACCAGCCAGCCTGGCCACAGCAGTCCCCAGACCACAGTGCTGACAGGGCCAAAGGCCAGACCATGGGTGGGAGTGGGCCAGGGCTGCTGCTTGCTGCTATCTCTGCCAGCAGGTTGAGCCTGGCACCTGCTACAGCAGATGTGAGAGCCAGGCGCACAGCAGTAGGCAGGACAGAACATGGGCAGACCCATGCCACACCTACAATCCTACCTGGACAGTGGCAGCAGCCTTGGGGTCTACATGCTCACCCACAGGAGAGCAGGGCTATGCCAGTGGCAGCAGACATGAAACCACTCTGGCCCACAGCATCTACCATCAGAGGGTGCCCAGAGAGGGCAGGAGGGGCTGAACTGCACGAATACCCAGCATCTCACCTGTTCTCACAAGCCTCCACAGCGGGGTCCCCAGCGTCCACTGCCTGAAGAACCTCACGGACATTTTCCTCCAGCCAGCTCATGGTGGCAGGCTCTTTCCAGAGGAAGTGCGACCTCCCGAGGTACAGACTCACCAGCTGGGTCAGGGCAGGGGG